GTGTAGACGGTATTCTTCGTGTTCAGCTTGAAAATTCGTTTATTTTTCACCAAATCCCGACTTTTGCCATCATTTTCAATGCGTCTTAAAATCAGCACTTTGAAAATGTCTGAATATTGCAGCAAAATCCAAACAAAATCTGAATTTCGCGAACCATATCTGCATAAAAATTGAACGGAAACATGAAAATTTCAATAAAAAAACTGGGCAATTTGAATTAGTTTTGTAATTGGAAAATTTGGAAAATCGAGGATACTTGCCAGCAAACTTTACTTCCCCATTGAGACGATAATAAAAAACCTTGAGCACAACAATAAAAATACCTTATAGAGCTTAGAATTTCACTAATTTGCTGCGTCATTTTCGTCCAATTTGTTCACTTTTCTGGGCCCAAAATCGGGAAAAAACCGAGCAAAATTTCGGTTGGAAATCATTCCTACTCATGAGCAATTGAATCCCGCGCCCAAACCTGACGTTTGTATCCTCACTGTCATTGGATGAAGAGGCAGAAGTCAAAATAACTTGTTTATTTTTATCATCGGTTGACAATAAACAATCTACATTGTTTAAAATGTAAGATAACCAAACCCCATTGCCCAAGCGAATTTAAAATGACGATTTCTGGCAAACTCTCCTCACCCGGAATGGTACTAGGCGTAAGTCTCGCCCTGATCAGCGCAACCCTAAGTGCTAACCTCCTAATTCCTGTTTTACCAGTTAGTGGACTCGCTTTTGCATTTATTGCGTTACTAGTGTGGTTTATTGCGCTGTTTTTCACTTTTGTGGGCTTGCACAAGGTGCTGCAAAGCAAAGAGCCAATTTCCAGTGCAGTGTTTAACAAGTACTTTCGGTATGGTTCCACCACTCCCCAAAATGGGGCTGTGGAAACGCAGGCTGCCATCACAGCCAATGCGGACAGCATTAGACGATTGGCTGTGGATATTGACAGATTTTTTATCAGCAGATGGTATTGCAACATCAGCTCTGACCAAAATTTCCCAATAGAAAGCAGGGTTTTCCTGCAAGAGGTATTAACTAGGGTGACTGAGGTGACTTTGCAGATGAATAGCAACTCTCTACTTCATGGGGTGCTCAATATCTTTTTGAAACACCTCAAGGAGTTCCGAAGGGGCTTGAAACGAAGAGACAAGTATCGAGTGGCCATTGAGGACGTCTACAGGTATAGACTGAGCGCTGTGCCTTCTCGCCTCAATGCTATGAGGGTTTTTGAAATTTTCCAGATATTCCCACGTTTGCAGCATCTCAAGCAACCAGCCGTCCTTGGACTATTTCATGCACCAACTAACTATAAGTCTGTTGCATCCCTTCATCAACTCCGAGCTCTGGAACTCGCTTCCCTGCCACATTTTGGTCTCAATTCTGGCTAGGAAGTTGATGTACTACTTGCTGACTCAGTTGTCCTGCCCTCAAGTACTCAACTACCTAATCTTGAACTCCCTGGCCTGTGGGGAGGTGAAGGAAAAGCTCCAGTTGGAGAAATATGGCCAAATTTGCATTGTAGAATTTTTTGATGTGATTGATGACAATAATCAGGAGGAGACGGCGAAGCCACCAGTGAAGCCCAGCGGCGTTGCTTCAGTTCAGCCAGTGGATTTAGACAGGATGAAAAAGGCAGAGGAGCTGCAGCGGGAAGTGGAAGAGGCGACCGCCCAACTGAAAAAAGACGCCAGGCCTCCAGTTGAGGTAAACCCCAGCAAGCCGTTGGTCGTCTTAAGGCAGCGGGGGCTCAATTCAGTTGTGGTAAGATAGTAGTAATAAAAAAAGCGCAATATTCAACAGAAATTTGTAGGATGGGCAAACACCCACTGAACGGTCCCCAAGTAAACGAGGCGACGTCGTAAAGATCTACGAACCCAAAAGCAGCGCTAAAACATGGCGGGATTCCAGAGATTTAGCATGTGTTTCACTGGGCCAGGATCCGTTGGACATGCTGGTGATCCCCCCCGATAGTGGGGGTAAAATCGGGACCAAGCCACCCATTTGGGAGCCTTCTGGTAAGTCCGTATATGGGATGAGGCAGACTAGCCAAGTCTTCGGTTCTCCCTATTAAGAGGCGGAGTTTGATTCAACACCATGCACTGTTATTAAATCAAAGTCCGCCGTCGATAAAGTCAGTTACTTAACAGTTGCAAACCACTGATTTTGCAGCAAAACCCGGCGATTCCAAGCACGATTCGCCGCCTAGTGCCAGTCATCTCTTCAATGAAGTAATGCAGATGACCTCGATGGAGGGGCTGAAGACTTCGATTAAGCCTTTGAGTGAGTGCTCAGACTCCGTTTAGTTGTGGTAGATTTGGAACTCGTTTTTGCAGGCGATGTTACAGAGAGGACTCTGCACAACATCAAGGACCTCCAAGAGGCCACCGTGCACAAAATCGGCGATTTCCAGGTAACTGACAAACCGCCCATAGATCCCCTCAATTACTTACACTACTTGCCACCAAACACTCTTCTGCATTCTTCCGTTCTGTCAAACACTCAACGTCTACATGCGCCTGCAGAGGTATGTTCTTGTTGTCTTGTAGTCGTTACGTTAATTTTCTCTTCCTCTTGGCGCTTGCTTGTCTGCTAATCCATACTAACACATTGTGGTTGCTTCCCTTAGATAATCCAAAGCATGTTTAACTTGTTTGGACGCTTCTTGATGCGCGGTTGGTGATGGCAATTGTTACAATTTTAGGATGAGGCCGCTGGTATGGTTGAAGGGATTCTGGATTTTGGCAGGGCAGGGTTCCGCAAAGGCTTAAGGCTGACAGGTATAGACGCTTTTTCTCCACAATGGAAGGGGAAAATTAATGTTTGCAAAAATTAGGGCTGCAAGATAATATTGAAAATGCTAAAACTCTGGCGGCAAACAGTAATTCAGCGGTCAAAAGCGTCGCTAAACCAGGCAAGAAAAAGCTCGACGATTTGAAGGAGAAAACCAGTTCGGCAGACAGTGCCGATTCAACCGTTTGGATCAATCCGTTGCAGTTCGACTCACCAAACTATGATGGCCAAATTTTATTGGTAAGCTTGATTTCTGATCACTCATATAAAAAACTCCGATGTCTAATCTCTACGTCCTCCCGGTGAATTCGCTGAAGATGTTCCTTTATACAATCCAGCCGCTGCCAGTCGTTTGTTATAACCATGTTAGTGTCTGCAGTAATTCGATTGCACCGTTCGACCTCCCCATAGTAGTACTTGAACTCCAGCTCATCCTCGAGCGATTCGTAGATAACCGCTGAGTTTTCGTTTTCTAGGTCACTGTGTGTATCAAAAAACGCTTTAAATGGAGCAAACGTTTTCTCTGGCGGGATTTCTAGCAGCTGCCCGAAGCATGGTTGTTCCCCGAGATTTCTCAGAAGTGTGACTGAATGCTTGAGGGTTTCCATAGTGGCCTCCTGAGTATAACTGTCGCCATATCTGTCGGTGGCGTCGCTTAAGCAGTTTTTAATGCTGGTGCCCAAGCAGTAGATTTCCAGTGTTTTATATGGCAGCAAATCTCCCTCTTGAACCACCCTGTGGATACGAAAAACCATAAAAAGCATTTGAGAATCGGGAACTGTACCTGCGCAACCACGCAGCGTCAATTACATCGCAATGGTTCCTTCTTTTGCAAATTTCCATGGCCTTTGCATTGTAATCGGCCACCAGGACTATATCAACCTGATGGTCTATTTTATAGTGCACTTTTCCGCCGGCTCTTCTAACTAGAGCCTCGAGCTGGTCCTTGTCGCCATTCAACACATGAAATAAATAACCCTCCAGCAGATCGGAGATCTGTCTAGTGCTTTCGAATTTTACCACTTCGATTTTCCGCTTCTTCCTTCTCCTGGTTTGGATTTGCAGAATCTCATCCAGCTCAATATAACGCTTGTTCAGCTTAATCACACTTTTATTCTGTTTGGCCAGTTCGAGAAGTTGGTTCATATCAAGGCATTCATTGATTGGCTTATCGGTGCGCACTTTTAACACCCTTGGGAATCTTAGAGTGTAAGACGTTTTATATGAGGCGTTGTTGATTCTCGTCAATTCGGTTGCTCGGATGACAAACACTACGGAATCGGCCGGTTCGATAAAATAATGGGGAACTTCGCTCCCAAAAACCAAAGCGCTGCTGTGATTATTACTATCGAACAGTTTTCCGTGGGTTTTGAATCGGCTATTCAGATCATGCAGTTGTTCGTCGCTGAGCCCGCTGCTGACTTTGGCGAAAGATAGAAACAGCGGCCCACCGGTTTTCGTGGTTCCTGATTGAACGCCGACTATAAACGAGTTGAGCTGAGATGAAGTGGAAGAAGCGCGTTTTCCTCCCATCACAACAACGTCCAGGTCGTGCATGGTATCCTTAAAGAGGTCAGATGGTTATTCATCAGCGTAATGCAACTACCTGGAGCTTTACCTGGAAATACTCCAACTTTAGTTTAAACCACCCGCTGTTCCTGTCGCTGTATTTATATACGGAAGTTGGGTCTTTGACTATAATCCCTTCTTCCTCCTTATCCACTGCGTTGTTTAAAGCGTCCACAATTTCCTCTGCTGTGCCAACTTTTGAAAGTTCACTCACGATTAGAGTTCCAGGAACTTGACTCTTAAACACACGTCCCAGCATTGCCAATCTCTCTTTTAAAGGCCTGTTGGTCAGCAATTGGTCGTTCAACAGTATGATGTCGTAAACGCAGAAACAGGGCTGATATTTGCCGTCTTTTTTCAGCTTTTTTACGTCCAATTCCATACCTTTGGAGCCATATTTATTCGTGTACCGATTCCAGAGCATCATTTCCCCATCTAGTATGATTCGCTGAACGAATGGCTGAAATAGATTTTTAAGTTTTGGAGTGAGAAGCCCTGAAAAGACTAATTAATCACCACAACCATGCAAGGGTTTATTGTTTTATTACCATTGTCGTCGTCGAATGTCGCCCCATATGTACTGGTGAAATCAAAAGCCTGTCTTGAGAAGTACTTGAACGCACCGTTTTGCATGTGCACTTGGAACCTTTCCCCGTCAAATTTATTTTCTATATAAAACGGTTTATTGTTGGTGAAGTGCTTCTTGAAAACTGCTGCATCCACGCGCTTGGACAGCATGGGCCGAAATGGTTGGAATATTTCAATGTCCAGTTCGTGAACGTTAATGTTCTTGTCGTATAAAACTTCGCACACTTTCCTCAAATTGCTGCCCGATAGGTAATAATGTGCCCCATCTTTATGGTAGCAATTTAGGATCTGGTTCTCATCGATAGACAGTTTTAGCCTTTTGAGGATTATGCGGATGATCCATCTGACCCATAAGCATGTCTAAGTGTTACTTTAATGCATTTTGCCTGTGGAATGTTGCACTTACTTGGAGTCTTCAGCAGAACACTTCTTAAACAGCTTCATTACTATTTCCTCGACTTGAGCTTCGTTTGTTCTGGCCACTATATCGTCTAGGCATTTATTCAGCTCCAGAACCGTTAGCGTGGTTTTGTATTGGGATATATAACTGTGGATAACCGAGTAGACCATGTCAGCATAGTCTCCAACTGGCAAACAACCGTCTTGAATGCTGAGCATTTGTTGGGTATTCTTAGGCAGAGCGAGCATTTTTATCAGAATTCTGGATATTTTCTTTTCCTGCAAGCCGTAGGAGTCCCGCTCTCGGTCCAGCTTGGGAACAATGAGCCGCAATATTGAAAACATGCATTGTTTTGAGTGTTTCGAACGCCACGCAGAAAAACACTCCTCCACTAATTTGCGTTTAGTTGCCGCTGCTTTCGCGTCTTTTACAGCATTAAATAAACCGCACAGTTCCTTAAAATCCATTGCACAACGTAACTAAATATAAGATCTTGTTACTGTTTTTGTTGTTAAAATGAGGCTGTTGACGTTTTAAGTGTCAGTTGTGGGTGCCTATCATTCTAACCGCAAACGGTATATTTTCACGTAGTTTTGGCAACATCACAGTAGGCGCCACCTACATACTTTACTACTAAATTTTGTGTTGAAATATTTTTGGATTTTATAGGAAAAAGCGACTGGAAGGCCTGATTTGGAATCAAATCCTAGAATAGAAAACCTGCCTATTCCGTCGATATCCACTGAAGACGCATCTGGAACCGATAGTCCGGACCCAGAGTACGAAGATGCTGCAGATTTAGCATCCAGTATAGCCAAACTGCGCTCTTTATTGCAGCAAAGATCGTCTGAATCCAGTTTATCGACTCCCGCGGTTAGTCCCATGTAGGTACACAATATTATAAATAAATTAATTTTAAATTGCGCTATTCGCTTGCAAAAGATACTTTTTATCCTGGTGCAAAGTTACACCGTTCATTTTTTCTACGATTTGTTTTAGGCCGGACGAATACAGTAAGCAAGTGGAATCGGAAGGCACATCAGACGCTGAAACATTAGAGGTGGATGGTGTGATGCCTAGTTTTTATAAATTCTGCACCAAAACAGCGTCTGGTGTTTTTTCCAACACATTCAATACGATCAAAACGGCTCTACCAGGCAACAACACTGAAAACCTCTATACGGTTGAGTTGTGGAAATTCGTCACTGACCAAAAGGTAAAAAGAGTTCTTAAATGGTTGAATAATTGACTGAGACTCCGGATGTAAAAGCTGCATTGCTTCTTTCTTTTAAGCCAACCGACACCCTGATCCGCATGAAGAAGCTCCTATCAGAGCGAAAGGAGTATTGCGTTTTAGACAAAGAAATCGAAGCTGCTTACGATGCGTTGGATTCCGTCGATATATTCCAGCAGTCCCCCAAATTGATACCAAACATCCAATTCGAAGGTACGCGGCGCGCTAAAGCGCTTGAGAGCTCATTCATCCCAAGCTTGATGGTTTCAGATGAACTAGAGGACTTTGAGGGCAAACTGCCCATCACCAAAGTGATCTTCGATATAGTGTGCGAACTGTTAGTCGACACCAGTTCGTCTCTCATACAAGAGCCGGTTATTAAGGCGGCGCTTCTCTTATTCGGCACTGCTCTAGAGGAGCAAGTAGCCACTCTCATGAAGGACTTCTTGGAGCATTTGGCCGAAAGTTTGGTAACAATTCCTGAAAAATCCAACACCCGGGTGCTATCAATGGACATTGAGGAGTATGTGGGTGCTATTGAGAATTCTAGTCCTGGTAGGGAGCCGCTGCTTCTCCAACCAACACGAGTTTTATTGATTGATCTTTCAGATAAGCTGCGATTTTTTGTCGGGCAGGATAACTTTAAAAGCGCCATTAGATTGCTGATCTCTTCTTTGCAAAAGCCCAGGATTAATCAAGATGTGGTCCTTCAGGGCTTCGAATTGATTGCCATGAGACTAATCGAGGAGAGCTTGCGGATTTCGCCACCTGCTTCTGCCTAGTTTTACAGGTATGGGTTTTGTTGACTTTTTTGTTTAATATTAAAGTCCTTTTTTTACAAACTTCTTTTTGGGTATTTCGCCTCAAATATGTTTGTCTTGAAAAAAGACAGAATTTCCTCACGTCTTTATTACAGATTGATAAATAGTGCTCATGATAAATAGTGCATCACACATTTGTCAACATGCATTTGATAATTGCCATAAAATTCAATGGAATAATTCCACAATTTTAACAAAAGAACAATCCACAAAAAAACGTAAAATCAAAGAAAGCGCACTAATTTTACTAAATCAAAATAATTGTGTTGCTTCATGTTTATTTAATTTAAGTCATACATGGTTATCTATGCTAAAATCTGAAGTAGACCAGAGAAACATACACCCAAATTAAATTTACACCAAAATTATTAATTAACATTACCTTTATTAATTTAAACAATGAGATTAAGCCAAAGTCACATAACTGACAATTTGCACAGACGAATTATCAGAGCGAATTTTCATATACTGTATTATCCTACTATTGTTACACAATTTATTAACAT